AATTTTTATGAAATTTGTGGGAAGTTTTCCTACCGAATTAAAATGCAAAAATTGCATAGACAAATTTGATTATTCATATTAATTTATTATTAGATTTTACTCAGTATGCTACTTTTCCATGTATAAGAAATAATATTTCTTCATTATAACGATACTATACAGAATTTTCGTGCTTTCCATTAAAAAGGGAAGCATGGAAAACATTTGCGTAATATCAATATAATGAAGGAACAATGAATATAATGAAGGATATGGAAAAAATTTAAAATTAGGCAAAATATATTCGTTTGAAACATATAAAAACTGGTTCAAGCAACTGAATCATATTTGTGTCTTAATTAGGTACGGTATACTCAGGCCTTAATTTCTAAAATTAGAAGTGCCGGAGCCCTGTGGAAAACTGTGAGGATGGAAAGGAAAAAATAAAATACCTAATAAATTTAAATTAAGATTAATACCAATTTAATTATATCGGTTAAATTGAAATTAAGAAAAATGTAAAGAGATAAAAAGAAATATAATAAATTATTAAATAGTTAAATAGTTAAAAAAAAAAAAAAAAAAAGTATCGGACATTGACTTATTTGGGGCACCCACTGAAGTTAAAATCCCATTTATATGCTAAAAAGTAGCTTGGCCGATCTCCGTCAGAGTTTAAGCCCTGATTACATATAGAATGTACTATTCCAAGGGATGATAGTCTTTTTTTGCAGCACACCAAGGAAAAAAGATAAAACAATTTAAGCTCCACTAATATGGAGAGATATTTAACCGAAAAGTGTAGCTTTGAAAATAAAAAGGGAAGAGTTCAAGACTTTCTGATCGCGATGCCCTGCTGATGTAATTCTATCTCTCAAGCAGAAATTTTCCGCGAATACTTTTACTGAATAAATGTTCCTGAATACAACGTGAGAATAAACATAGCACGATTAGGATATCACTTTTAGTTCTTTGAGGAATAACAAAATTTACCCGCTCTCATAAAGTCATGTCCTGGAGAATAAGCCCTTGACATGTGATTAGAGGGCTTTTCTTTCCTTAAAAGCCTCAACCTCTGTTCAAGGCTTGAGTGCGAGGGAAAGACAGGCCTGCATTCAGAAGATAGAATTGGATTTTTAAGGCACGTTTACTATTAGAACAAAATTTACGTGCTAAAATTGTGGTTCACTTACATAAAAGAAGTGCCGAGGGTTCCGGTGCGCTCCGGCTGAAATTATCAATTATCTCGAAAACTGAGAAGTACCGGAGCCAAACTCCGTGCGTTCCAGTTTATTTATTCTTAAGCATAAACGGGCATTCAATCTATCTTGAGTAGAAAGGGAAAAAGAGTGAGCCTTTGAAAAGAGAGGTCATGGTATGCACTCGAAAAACCATTTGTGAAATGTATCTACCATAAAGAGTAATTTTGTGTCTTCATAATGGCAGTATTACCCAGAAGTTGCCAATACATGTGCATTGTAAATTTAAATAGTAACAGTTTTTGCCGTTCTCGGTTGTGTAGCTAACTGATAATGGTGAAAAAGCCGTTACCATTGAAACTTCTATGTTTTAGTGAAAAAAAATTGCGTAAATCTTACCGAGGGTAAAATAGTAAATTTACCTAAATTTTACTAATGGGATTAACTGCTAAATTTATTTGATTGCAAGATCGTTCGACAAAATTCTAAATATGTGAAAAAGTGTGTGTTAAATATGTGAAAAGTTTTTTTTAATTTTGATTTATTGCTTAACCACTTCAAAAAAATGTTAAAAATGATACGAATAAAAACCAAGTAACGAAAACAAAGCGGTTCAAAAACATTGCAGTTTTAAAACATCGTAATAAAAAATAAAGCATCTGCAAATCATCGCATGACGATAACTTCATGAGCATGTGGTTTTCAGGCTTTAAAAGCTGTAAGTATATAGTAACCGGTATGGCTGATGACGTAAAAGGGACATTTACGAGTCGCATCCGGTATACCAAATTCGCACTACAGATGGATGAATCCACTGAAGTCACGGGATTGGCAGTTTTAACGTTTTTTGTTCATAATGCCTACTTATAAAATTATCAACAGGTGTGTGTGTGATTATGGCAAAGCCTCGAGGGCTATCTGCCTAAGAGGAGGGATGCCTTTGTGGAGGACTTTCTAAGGGAAACTGGCTCGTATACACGTTACACATGGGGAAAACCACGAAAACGCCCATGCAGCCAGCCCGTTCGCGGGATTCGAACCTCGGACCGAACTACCAGTGTTCAGCGACTTTACCGCTCGGCCGCTGGTGGGCTAAATTATCAACAGGAGATTCTTCTTTGCAGACTAGTAACAACCAGCATATCGGGAAGTGGAATATTTATTAGACAAATTCTACTCATTAAATGAAATATCATGGGAAAAATGCGTATATGCAGTGATAGTGCAAAAGGCAGTGATAGATCACAATGCAGGGGGCTTTGCTGAAAGTAGATATAAAGCAAAGAAAAGTAGCAGCAGGCATTGCGTTCTTCATAGGCATGCACTAGTCACGAGAAGAAATCTCGTGACAGACTTAAATGATGTCATAAAAATAATAAACTGTGTAAAATCGCGACCTCTTAAAAACATGGTCTTCAGATTGATGTGATATAAGCCATCACAACTTCTCCTGAACTAAGGTTGTTGTCCTAAATGGGTTCGCATTTGATAAAACTGCGTGCAGAGGAAGCAGCATTTTTGACTGATCATAACCCTCTACAAGTGGCTGTTTTCAGTGATGTAAAGCCTGGGTATACAAGTTGCCATACCTGTCAGAGTTTCAGTAAAATAAACACGAAATTAACCTATTATTGCGGAAAAAACACCGCAATTTTTGTTGCAAATACTTAAGTATATTCCTTTAAGAGGGTTGGTTATTTGTTGGATGGGAAGAGGAAGATAGTGATTGCTGCATCTTACCAAAAACTTCTTGAATGAAAATAATACCAGAATTCAAGCGAAAATAGAGAAAATACTTAGGCACATCTTAAAGCTTTGAAAGAAGTCGTTTGAACATTATTTTCCGACAACTCAAAGAAAGATGCTTGATGATTTAAGTGGGTTTTAAATGTATTAAGTTTGAATAGAAATCAACCCCGCTTAAATTCAACAGAATTTGAGGTTCTTAGCATCTCACAGAGAACTGAAAATCGCGTTTCAAAACAAAAGTCTACCGGAATTTTGATTGCATTTACAAGATGAATTCAAAATTTTGTTTGGAAAACCAAAAGTAGTATTGTTGCCTTTTGCATTTGATATGAACTCTGAAACTTCGCAAATGCATAAGTCTGTGAAGCGGGGCTCTTCGCTTACATTGAAACAAAGAACAGAAGCAACTTAAATGCAGAATCATACATTCGCCTGCATAATGATCATCAACTGAATCTAAAATAACAAGCCTGTGCCAAAAAATGCAGTTGCATGTCCTACTAAACGTTTATATGCTATTTTATATTGCGTCTTAATTTAGGCCTACTATGCATCACAGTGCACTCTAGTTTGCATGGCAGTTAGTAAAATTAAACTGAAATTGTTTTCAGTCGTGAATAATAAATAATGAACGACTATGTATTTTATTCAATTTGATCTGTGTTTATTACGTGGATTTAGTTTATTATTTTTCTCTCACCAATAAGCTTTTGTTTTGTTGAACTTTGAAATAAACGTTTTGCCTGGCAATGTGTCAACAGTATCATGGGTATTGGGTCGTAGCTGAGAATAAACTAAATGTTATGGTAACTTTGTGAGGTTTACCACTGTGTAATTGCAGTCAAAAGTGAGTAACCTTAAGAACTAGTTAGCGAATAATCGCTTAAGTTCGTGTAGCAAGAAACAACAAGATGGAAGGGTAACTAACCCTTTTATTATTCCAATAAGATTTAACAAAACTCCGTCTGGTAGTGTACAATAAAAGCCAACACTTGGGCTTCAACTTAAGAGACTAAAAATTAAATTAAAACTAAGATTAATTAAAGAGATATAGCCGAAGCTATCAAGATTCAAATCGAGTTGGCCCCTTAACTCTATTTGACTACGAAGCTTATCAAGAGCCTGAGTACGGCCGAGCGTAATAACAGCTTGAGAGAAAGTAGCCAAAAGGTAGACGCGCGTAAATCAGAAACTCTGATTCTCTCTGCAAGTAAACTTTGCGGTTTAAATACCGCTCCTCCTCATTAAGTATTCAGAGTGATTCCAAAAGTACGTTCTACTACTGGCCGGAAGTAATAAGTTGAAGTTAAGATTTTGACAGGAAAGGAACTTAAAATTTAACTCTTAATAAAATTAACATAATCCTTACAACTTCGAAAGTTCTTAAAAATAATTCATCGCACTAATATTGTTTATTTGCTTAAATATCTCTTTACATTCCTGTACCATCCAGTCCCTGTCCCCTCCCCCTTACATTTTTTCTCAACATTGTTAGTTTGTAAGTTATAGAATAAGCCTAAGGGGCTTCACCATAGATATTGATTTAAAAATGTGATCGCCAGTTAAAGTTTGAGAAAAGCTGTTCTATGTCAACTCCACGAATACATCGTGGCCAAGAGGGAAGGAGTTGCACCTATCGTTGGTAGGCCTTGGGTACTTTACGGGTGTCATTTCGGTTCCAATTTTTATGTAGAACGTCCCAGGGAATAATTCCAAAAGTCTGATTGTACCCCTTTTCTCCTATTGCCCTTAGAATTTATGATTTTATCATAAATTGATGTCGGATGTAGACTTTTGTGCTCATTTAATAAAGCGGATTATTGCGCAATAATTAAATAAGCTGCACAATAATTAAATAATTATTTAAGTTATGAATTTTTTCATTTATTTGTCTGTGTACTAGGCCTACAACAAATATCCCCTGCAAGAAAAGTGGCAAATTTGATCAGAACGCAAAATTTTTGTTAAAATAACACATAATTTCATACGTTAATAGTTCAAAATGTTTAAGTCTTTTGGAGTTTTGTAAATGCAATTAATTATTCAGATTTCATTTTCTTTTGATTGTTTTAGGGTTTGACAACAGAGCATGCCAAGAGAGTTCTGCTAAGGGATGGCCCAAACGCCCTAACTCCACCCAAGAAGACACCTGAATGGGTTAAATTTTGCAAACAGCTGTTCGGTGGATTTGCTTTACTTCTTTGGGTTGGTGCCTTTCTGTGCTTTATTGCATATTCCATCCAAACCACATCTATGGAGGAAGCACCCGATGACAACGTAAGATGGATTATCTCTTTTCCTTACTTTCCAGGTGCAAGAAATCCAACAATATACCTTTATTTTTCAATAACATAAGCAACAAATAATTTAGCTTTAAAATAAAAGAGTCAAGAGTAGATAAAATTTCAAAATTGTCTTAAAGTAGAGTATAAGTTGAGTACATGGCTAGTTTTTAAATAAGAAAGAAGTATGTTCGCAAAAATCTGAGATTACTTTCTAAGTAAAACTTGCAAAATAATTTTTATCTATTTTCTTTCAGCTATACCTGGGAATCGTGCTTGCTGCTGTCGTCATAGTAACAGGTATTTTCTCTTATTACCAGGAAGCTAAAAGTTCTAAAATTATGGAATCTTTCAAAAGTATGGTTCCTCAGGTTAGTTTGATGGAAATCTTTTTTTTGTATTCTTTACATGTAATGAAATGACTTATAATTAATTAATATAAAATAATTGATGGAAAATGTACACATTCCACGCAGTTTAAGTATTTAGATGCGTCCATTAAAAGCATAAGGAATACAATCATTCCTAAAATATATGTAGCATAAATTATGTAGATATTGTGGTATTAGAAAAATAGCTACGTGGATATTTAAGGTGAGATAATGGAGAAGGAAAGCTTTTAGGCTTTTAGACCATTGATTTAAAGACATAGTCATAATTTTGTTTTCGTTATACAGCAAGCCTTGATATGAATAAACACATTCACACATTATTATTTATGGGTGCACTATGCACCTCAGAATTTTATACAGCTTACATCGTTTTTAAAAAGTACAAAGGGGAGTAGTAGGGAATTGATAGTACAGGGACAATATTTGACCTAAGCTGTCCTAATGTATGGAGCCAGATTTCTAAACTAAAGCACAGAAAGATGGAAGTAGTGTAGTACTTCTTAGAATAATTGATATGAGTATCCTTGGAATCACAAATATGCATCAGATGTTGGTCAGAAGAAAAGCTATGCACATACTCTTGTGCATTCTTAGAAGCACAACTATGCATCAGATCTTGGTCAGGAAGAAAAAGCTATGCACATGTTATTCTCGTTGACCAAATCTGATTCTTCATAATTATTTCTTACTTCGAGGAAAATAAACGGTCAACTGAGTAGTTAGCGATCATTAAGGTTAAAAATATAACTGAGCAAATTTTTGCATTTTAAAATGCAACCTAGAAGGATAACTCATTTGATCAGATCATTCTTTGTCATTCTCTTTCCATCTAAAAGAAGTGACACATAATTTGTCCCTTTGTTCCACACACTACATTACTTTCGTTAAACAGGAGTCAGCAAACGTTTTTTGTTTACTTTTGTAGAAGAAATAACTCATATGATGCAAATTGTTACGAGCAGTGGGTCAAGACACAAGTTGCTATATAAGTTCGCTTAATTTCCCGCAACTTCAGCGATAGTACCAAGTCCGTACCTCGTGAAAAGGAGATACAAAGTTGAGATCTTCGGAAATACTCATATTGCTGCACCCAGGCATAAGGAAGCCAGATTTTTCTTAGGTTTGAGAAACATTCTGTGTCAATAGGTACGTTTAAATTTAATCCCAGACCAATCTTTATTTACTATATGTAGGTTTTAGAAGGATTAATCTTTTCAAGAGTATTATGAGCTATCTGTAACAGAATTTAAACCTATTTTTGCTGAAAGTGGTAGCACGATAGCAATTTCGTTCATTAAACATTTTTCTTGTAAAAGGCTAACAAATTCCTATTTTCTTAACATTTTTTTAATAAACGCGAATAGGATGCGTTATAGTTATTACCACGGAAAAGGTATCATAAATTTTCCCGCATATATGAAAGCTTTTAAAGTAATATAAGTAGATTTTAAAGTTATCTTCTGTTCCATATTTCTTACATTTTCAGAACTAATGGGAAGAAAGGGCTTTTAGACAGACAGGCGTACATTTTTATGTCTTAGGCAGACATGCCTTCAAAGCTTTAGAAGCAGACGTACCATCATAAATTACTAATGTTTGTGTATTCTTGTCACAGTATGCATCCGTTATTCGTGATGGTCAGAAACTAGTGCTTGCTGCCGAAGAAGTTGTGCAAGGGGACATCGTTGAAGTTAAAGGTGGCGACAGAATACCAGCGGATATCAGAATTATAAGTGCAGCCGGTATGAAAGTTGACAATTCCTCACTCACAGGAGAGTCAGAACCTCAGACCCGGTCCCCGGAGATGACAAATGAAAATCCTTTGGAAACAAGGAATATAGCTTTCTTTTCTACTAATTGCGTGGAAGGTAATATGCAGTTTTGGTTATTTTTATAGCTTGGTTAAAAACCTGCCTCTATAGCATGTAAAACCATACTTATTAAAAATTGTAAGTAACGAAGAGGGAATTTAGTGACATATTTTTAAATAAAGTAAAGAACATCTTACCATATGATTGTCATCAAGTTACACATTTAAGATAGATAAAACAAAGCAAATAATGTCAGTTTTGCTTTCATAATGTTCCAGGATTAGATGAAAGTACGTCTGAATATCAGTTGATATTTTATCCAGTTTCAGAGCTGAAAAACTCAAACATCTTATGACCAGTTGATGTTTTATTTGTTTCCAAAGCTAAATATTTCGACACAATTATTTCTGAGTGCATTACGCTGAGAGTATAGCACTAACTGAGCAATACAAAATAATGTTGAAATATCCAGTACTTATTTAATAAAATGAAAACACAAAAATTAAATTTTTTAACTGCGTTAGCCTATTTTTAACTATATTAGTTTTATGTATTAAAATGCGAAATTATGTTAGTTTTGAACCATTCATGATTAGGAAAAAAAGAAAGAAAGAATGCTCGACGAATTATAATGTCTTACTGATGAAACATTTCACTTCCGTAGCAAGAAGTGTTATTTATTACATATTAAGATTCATTTATCTTTTAGCAACTACTTCATGCACTAATACATGCATATTAATAGTTTCCCTAAAATAATACATTATCCTTATGAATAACCTCCAGTTCAAAGTAATTAAACAGAGCTTCAAATAGATTTTAAATTTTAGGGATTATTTTAATTTTCTAACAGTTATTTTAAATTTTGAAACCCTTTCCTTTCAATTCTCGTTTTCCACCTACTACTCCTGCCAGAATGAGATTTCAGTGTCGCGTTTTATGTAAGTGAAGTAAAACAAGTATTTAATGGGAAGCTCATTTACTCCCGGAAAAGAGCTCAGAAGCTATCAGTAGAGTGTGTTCTGCCTTCGGTCCACGTCGTTGCTTTAAGCCTAACTTGTTACATTCGGCCGTAGTCTTACGTGCCTGAATAAAAAGGTGTTTTCCCCTTTTGAATTTTATCCGTATAGTTGTAAGAAGACCAGCGAATAGTCGTTAGCCATTTCCTTAAGGATCTAGTAGCCTAAGACATGAACACTGCGGGGAAAAAAGGGGGCAGTTCTATATCTTCCGTTCTACTGGGCCACTTGACGAAATTCAGCTTGCGTTTTTCATGTCTCGAAAGCGTAACTTACGATATGTATTAGATTTATACATAGCATGTTCTAATATAAATACTTTGACACGAAATCAGGCTTTTTCTGAAATGACATGCCAATATATTTCCATATTTCGATTCTACGACTCAAATTATGCCAAACTGTCATGCCAAAGTTTTATAAAAATCGCACGAGTAGTTTTTAAAGAATTAGCTCAAAATTTTAGCTCGTCAGGGTTAATTGAATTTGATATATATTTATTAATCTCTCTTTTTTTTTCATTAAACTTCCTTGATTCCTTCTTCAAGAATTCGAATTAAGTCAAAAATAATTCGCACATATTTTATGATTAATTTTTAAAATTCATATTTTTAAATACTTTTTATAAATTTTTCGACAAACTTTTTTATTATAACCTATACAATTTTTAACATAATCTTAATATAGATGTATTTATATGCACACCTGCAAAAAATTTGAGTTTTTTATTCAAAACTTTCTAAGATATACATGAATTTACATATTGCGCGTTTTGAAATTTGGCATCTTTTTTTAAGCGATAATAACGCCAAATGTGGCTTACGGTGTTGGTGTATTTAATTACAGCAAAGCACACTAGGGCTATCTGCCTAAGGGGAGGGATGCCTTTCGTGAAGGACTTTCTAAGCGAATCTGGCTCGTATACACGTTACACATGGGGAAAACCACGAAAACACCCATGCAGCCAGCCCGTTCGCGGGATTCGAACCTCGAACCGAACTACCAGTGTTCAGCGACTTTACCGCTCGGCCGCTGGTGGGCAATGTTGCTTACGTACTTTGTTAAAATTATTTGAAAGTATATGAACGATGATTTTTTCCGCTCATCTACAGTGAAAAAAGGAAAGAAAAATAGGTTGCTATAAATTAAGAAGTTCGCTAAGTGAATTATTCTTGGCGCAAACTGAAAAAAAGGTACGAATATAAATTTTTGAATTTCTCCTTAAATTTTGAACTAAATTTTACAAAATTTAATATTTAGGCAAAATTTGAATCTTAGAATCGAAATATGGAAAAAAATTGGCATATCCTTTCAGAAACGTCCGATTTAGTATCAAAACACCTATATAAGAACAATGCTATACATAAATCTTATCGCGCTTTCGAGACATGAAAAATGCAATTTGAATTTTGTAAATTGGCCCAGTAGAACGGAAGATAAAGAACTGTTCCCCCTTTTTTTTGCGCTGTGTACGTTTATTAGACTTTTATAAATTTAATCGGCAGTCAATGTATTTAAAATATGTCCTCTTCAAAAGAATGGTACACCCGGCGTAATTAAATCAATAAACAGTATCAGCTAAGTTTAAAACTGAGAGTATAATAAACACACTTAAAATATTTTACATCTCTGTGATAGTTTTAGCACGAAGCCGACTCGTACGAGTTGGGGTACAATTAAGGCGAATGGTATCTAAATATGCTTTCTTGTGATGTTAAGAGTAAGTATTCTCTTGTTATAAAAATACTTGGTAAGCCGCTTTACCAATTATGGTCCTAGAAATGGTGTAATAAATAAATGCTGCAAAAGAAATAAAGAAACGAAGAAAAAAGATTAACTCTTAGAATAAGAAGAAATAATCTTAGAATAAGAATAAGGAGAAAATACTACGATGAAAAAAATTTTGTTACGCATATTTATGTCATTTTATTTAGAATTATGTATCTGTTCTTAAGTAATATTATCCTTTTCAGGTACAGGCAAAGGTATCGTCATAAATACTGGAGATCGTACTGTGATGGGTCGCATAGCCAATTTGGCTTCCGGGCTAGAAATGGGCGAAACCCCCATAGCACGAGAGATAGAACATTTCATACATATCATCACTGGGGTGGCTGTGTTCCTCGGTGTTGCTTTCTTCATCATTGCTTTCATCCTCGGATATTACTGGCTGGATGCTGTCATCTTTCTTATTGGGATCATTGTAGCGAACGTTCCTGAAGGACTTTTGGCCACTGTTACGGTAGGTATTATTAAGCAATAGCATAGAAACTGTTACATTTTATCAATCTGGATTTTCCCCCTCTTAGATTGATAATTTTTAAACCAATTTTCACTTGTAGAGTTTTTTTTCTCAAAAACTAAAAAATTTTGTGCTTATGCATTTAAAAAACGCAATGAAATCACGCTAAAGTTCTAAAATTGACTCACAAGCACGAAAGCAACAAAAATACGCATTATTGATTATTGCGAGCGAAGGAAAACCAAAACAGCTGATTATACAGTACTGGGTAAAGCGAAAGGTAAACTCTGAATCAACTTTGTATATTTCTAAGTGAAATTAATAATCAAATGGTCAAATGTATGTTCAGAGAAAATAAGAAAATAAATATTTGTTTATGATCTTATTTTTCATTACTGACGCCAATATATAAGTATCTCTTACTTATTTTGCTTTCCTGAAAAATGTTTTGTGAACGAGAAGATAGATCAGATGCCTCTGTAAGACGACTAGCATAAATTCTCAAATAATTTTAAGCAAATTTCAGAGATAATAATATGGAATTCTACTTCAATACTTAAGTGCATATTGAAAGTTTATTTTAATGAAAAAGCGTAATGACAATTAGTAGGGTTTACAGGGTATGATTATTCAGCAATATAAAAAATAAGAAAAAAATCTAAGGATTTTTAAAAGATCACTTGTCTACTACTATCAAAAGTATTTTCAAAGTAAAATCTCCCAAAAATTGTATAGGCATATGTGTACTGTGACTTATCTCACTTATCTGATAGTAACATCAGAAAAAGCCTACGAAATTCATCCTGGCAAAGAGAGCAAGACTGCGCCTGTTGTTGGCTAGAATCTTGAGCACCTTGCAGGTGACAGTACGACTTCGCTCATTCCCCCCCCCCCCAATTTTTTTTGGAGAGGACACGGGGGGGATGGGTTCGAGGGTCTCTCACACGTCTTCCTTCGCTATCAGCCTCTCGAGAAGATTTTTGGCTCGCCACATATTCAGAGTGCCCCTATGCCGCAAAGACGCTATGCATTTACAAACATCCATACCTTCTCCGGGATTCGAATCCGGTCCCTTTGGTGTCACAGTAGGCTCCCCTAACCACTATACCCCCTGAGCGGCGCATAGTCATATAAAATGTTATAACGTGGTTGTGATTAATTTCAAACAAGTGTTTTGATTAGAAAGTGATATGAAGAAAGGAACTGAATGTCACATTTTTAAAGTTGAAGGTTGAAAGTAAAACATTTTTGAGTGTAATGATAAAAATATAATTCCATGTTAAATGATAAATCAAGAGCTAATAACCGCGGTAAACCAAATGGGATTTATTGCTATTTGATTTGTAAGCTATAACTGCATTTCTATACAAGCAACATTGAGCGTACTTTTAAAGTGTTTGGGTATATCGTTTGAGATGAGCTGTTTTTTTCTACATTCCTTAAATGTTGTAGCTATCTGGTTCAAATAGAGTAAGATGTGTTTCGGAAATTCTTCTATAGCAGCTGTCTCTTCGCTAATACTAATACCACGTAGATTTACACGAAATTTGAATCTAAAGAATCCTATAATGAAATTTTTCTGCGTCCTCATAAAATGTTTTTATGCATGCACAATTAGACATGCAACTTTTCCTTAACATCTTTCGAGTTGTTGAGCTGTGTTTTTTCTCTTAATTCGTGGCATTAAATGTTTTCCGATTTTCAGGATTATTTTACCGTTGACTACAATAGATACAATTTGTTCAGTACATCATATATAATTTGCTATTTACCACCAACTGTCGCAGTTGCTGCGCTAGGTTGAAAGTTCATAGTTTCAAATAGTTACCTCCAAAATTAGGAACAGCATATGATCAAAATGGTAATGGTAAAGAATGTTACTATTAATTAAGTAACATATATTTAGATGCAGGTTATTATGTACCTCTGTCAATGTATGGAAATGTTTGGACCTATGAAATAAGGATAGTTACAAAGCATAATTATTCCAAATGCATTGACTATTTTATTGCCAAACTATGCTCATTTGTATTTCACCCAACGTTTGCCTTTTAAAATTAAATTTGTTAATATGTTAATAAACAGTGTGTACGACTTCTGAATTTTTGTTTTGATCTTAATTGAGTATTTCTGTGTACAATTCTGCAGTTTATAAGATTATTTTGCTCTGAAATCTATGTTGAAAACAAATTTAAGATCAAATGATTACATTTTCTTGTAATGCCTAACTCTTTGTTTTAAACCGGCAGAAAAAAAATCAAATGAGCAACATATCATGCTATGAAATCATGCTTTAAAAATTTTATCTGATAGTAAAATACAGAAAGGTTATCTTCAATCACTTCAAGAAACTTAACTTAATACTCTGATCAGAAACACTGAAATGGTTCTATAAAGCACAGTGTAAACAGTATAGCCAATAATTATTGCATCTTCTTCAAAGTACGCCTTTCGACTACAATGCACGTATGCGAAAATTATCCTCCGCTCTTCGAAACATGTTTTAAATTTATTTTTATGAATCTCTTTCATAAAAATTTATCTTTAAATTTATTTTTATGACTCGCTTCGAAATTACATTTATGCACCAATAAAATGAAAATGGCGACAACGAAGCTGCAAATTTTGCAAGTTTAGGAATGGAAATAAGAAAAACATCACACAGTGCCACAGTACGTGTATATAAAGCATTCGAAGACTTACTCACTGAACTTCTGCAGGGCTTTTCTTTAGCCCTGGAACTTCTGGCTAAAATTCACGAACGAGAGGCGAGCAGTTGAATTACTAGGTCATTTTCAACATATTGCTTAAAGCAAACGCCGCATAATGCTAAAATAAGAATCTTTGTTAACTGTTTGGCCAACTCTTAGAAATTTATGTTGAACACCACGACGACAGTCAAAATTCTTAATGTTACTTTGATTTCTGCCCGACTTTGATGACGATTTTCCAACTTCCTTCAACTTTAGAGCGTCATTCTCTTAATTGTTGAGCTGTTAAAGAGTTGAGCTATTAAAGATAAAAGAGTAAATCCATGCTCATCACTGGTAATAATATATTTTAAAAGGGCTTCTCTTGAAAAAAAGGTTTCCTTTTGACCATCTGACCATGTTGTTGCCTTTGGAAAAATTCAACGTTTAGGGAATAACTCGAGAAGCGACGAGGCACAAGTCCAAACGATTTTTCAGAATTGCTTGGCTGGATTCAAATGAGATAGAAACTTAGTCAACAATATCACTAATTGTTAAATGACGGTCACTAAGCCTAAATCTCTGAACTGATCAGTATGCTTTCCATTAATTGCCATGAATGGTCTACTAGAAAGAGGTTTATCTTAAATAATCATGCGTTATTTTCTTTAAACATTTCATACTACTCATAATATCTTGTTTTAAATAAACTGCTCCATCCAAAGGCGTTTAGAAGCATTTCAAAGGCATTTTTAACGGAAACACCATTGCGAAAACAAAACTTGACGCATGTTCTTTCTTCAAACACATTCGGAATTTGCTGAAATAACCAAAGCAAAAAAGCAAAGAAATTTATTCGCAAACATAAATAAAAATTAAATGCTGATTATTTCCATATGCCGATGCGAAGTCGGAACAACTTTAAGACTTTGCAAGAAATTTGGTGCACGTGCATATCTTAACTGAATCTTTCCCTGTACTTTTTGATGACAATAGCACCATTATTCTTAACTTACTGATAATTGCAATTAATAGAGGTAGAAAAATTATGTAGCTAATTTTAAAGAGTGGCATCAATAGCCTGATTTTGATATTTATATGCAATATTGGTTTTCACTTCTGCTTTGTTCTTTGACTGGGAATGGAGAACTTGCCTTCACGAGTTTCACGGGCAATGACAGGTCGTAGAATTAATGAATAAATTAAAATTTATATTTACGAATAATTTCTGATGTTCTGTATTGACAAACTGCTAAGCAATTTTGCCATATTCTACAGACCATATTTTTAATTCATTACAATATCGCAAATAATGGCACTAAACCTATTACTCCATACAAAAATTTTGCTTCAAAATGAATCTTAAAACCAGAACTAGATTATATATTCATTTTGCGAAAACAGATTATTAAAATTTGGTACTATCACAAAATACTAGTGTTCTTAGCATAATATATAATTCTTATTTGCAAAGGACTAATATTGAAAAAAATTAAGAAAGCGACAACTTAATCATGCGAGAGACTTTATGAATTTTTGACTAGCGATGGAATGTTCACGCTTCGTTTATAATGGGGGAAAGAATTTGTCATAGCTTTTGCGCTCCATCTGACACAACTTTTGTTAAAAATTCTGGAGTTTCTGAGAACCAAAATCGTCTGGTTTATACTACTTATCCAGCTTTTTATAGTATTAAAGAATGAAACTCTCATTTTCTTAACCCTCTTGATGTTGAGAGGAATATAGTAATAACTGAAGATAATGATGCATCAATGATGCAAACATTGCCTTTGTTAAATATTTGATATATAATAGAACTTTGTTTATACAAACTAACTAGAATCGAACCATCCGGATGAAACATACTTTATAGGTAATTTTAAAGACAACACCATTTTCATAAAAGAAGGGGCTAATGTTCTAATTTTTAACATTTTCAGCAATTAATATTGTTTATAATTATATTTTGCGCAAAACAACATTGAAAATTCTAAATATTAAATATTTAATTTATAAAAATTAAAAATGAAATATTTGCCAAGGGCTTCTTTTGGATCCTTGCGTATTTCATCAGTCAATTTCCGCATTTTATTTTGTTAGGACGGGATTTTATATGCTGATAGAAAAAAAACACCCCATTCAGAAATAATTTATAGATTCAGTAACTAATAATAAACAAGTAAAATTGTAAAAACTAAAGATGAAATATCCAGACACACTTATTCAGTTTTATTTGCCAGTCTCCGCCGTTTTTTAACTTAACCAGAGTGAGAGAGAACAAGACAGCTGAATACTTGGTAGTTCGACCAAAGTCAAATCCTGGAAATGAGCTAGCTAGTTACATGAAACTATCTCTTACCTGAAACAGATATCTGTATTCAGTTTGCATGCTTTCGTATTTAGTAAAACAAGCAAGAAATACGACCTTATATGTTGAGCGAAGTTCAGTGGAATGGACTTATGGATTTTAATGCTGAGGGGAAAGATTCTTAAAGGAAGAAAATTGAGACAAAAATTGAAATAAGTAACATATATTATTCCTAATGAATTTAATTTTGATAGTTTGAAAATTACAAATTAACAGTATTATTTTCTGAGTGTCTAAAATCAAAATATGAAATCAGCCATGTCACAATTTTTTTTTCGTTTCACCAGTAATTTACCACTTTCATAGTGATAGGGTATAAGTTACCAATTAATATTCAGTTTGGTGTTTGCTATCTTATTTGTATTATAAGGTAGTTAGTTTCTCTCTCCTTTCCGCATGCTTTCGTAGTGTAATTGAAAGTATACTCCACGCGTATTCGAGAGGTTCAGCGTTCGAGTATTAGCGAGGGCACTGCACATTTTTCACGTCTTCTTCTTTAAAATAACTCTTCAGTGGCGACCGAACTAAAAGTTGGTGGACAATAATTCGACCATCAGAATTTGGCGATCGGGTCCCCTTATCCCCAGTTGTCCTTTAAAAGGGGAAGTATATCAGATATTTTATCTCTCATTTCTGCATGCCTTCGTGGTGTAATTGGAAGCATACACGACAAGGGGTCACTATATTTGAGCAGTCCAGGGTTTTAGCCCCGGCGAGGGCATTGCACATTTTTCACGTCTCCTGCTTCAAAATAACATAATGACTCTATAGCTTGTTCATTTAAAGTTTTAGTATAAAGGAATGAAACAAATATATCGCTTGTTATATTTTAAGGACAACCAGCAAAGACACAATTATACAGTAAGATTAACAATCTGGGCTGACACAAACCGATTAATGTTTTGCGAAAAATCTTTCATTGAGAGGCCACAATCTGAATCTTGCTTCTTTATATTTCATACCTCAGAATTTGATGTAATATTGCAGTTTCTGCCAAATCCAGCTATTTACCAACATTTCAAACTAACTGTTACTGCCAATAAATGAGATCTAGGATGGTCATCAAATAAGACAATGTTCACCTGTCAAAAGCAACTGCATGGCACCCTAGAGTACATCAGTATTACAGAAGAGATAAAATGACGCAAATCAGACACTTATATGCTATGATTAAACCTAGGATATTTACGACTTAACAGAAACCATTAGCTGTCACCACCAGATGTTGCAGAATACAAATATTGACATATAAAATGTGAGCTTCTTTCTTCTCTTCATCATCAAATCTCCTTCATTTCCCTGAAGGGTCTTCATTTATTTTACCGATTCCTTACATGAAATCCAATATGTTATTCAATGGCTTTCAAGTTCTATAAAACGGATTAAAATCTTTTCGTTGATTATTTTGTGAGGAATTTAGATGAATAAGAATCGGATATGAAATTCCACTGTTTTAGCCTACTCTCACTGTAGCATCAATGTGAATGCATTGTTCTGGTAATCATGCTCATATAAAAACAATTAGAGTTACATGGTAGGATTTTTAAACTAAAGATTTCTTTAGTTTATACGTTATCAATAAAGAAGCTATGGAGTAGATCTTTTTATTTGTCATAATTAACCTTAGAAATACCTTAGAAAGATACTTACTTGAATACCTTAGAAATTTTTTATTCATTTGGCTCTTATTATACCTTCGAATCATTTATGATATCAGTTAACACTTGTGGCATAGCAGCCCCACCAAAACAAATAAAAAAAAGGCAATGCTTATAATTTTTTTCATAACACTGGCTAGTAGAGAGTTCATTTCTGTAGCATCTTTATTCATGACCAGAAATTAAAATGACCATAAATCAATGATTCTGTGAAAGAATTTTAAATACTCATTTTACAACTTTGTTAGTTTACGCAAATTTCTGAAAATAATCCTAACCTGAAAATAAATGCTTGAAACCCTCTTGTGAGATTAAAGAATAACTAAAATTTTTTACAGGTATGTTTAACTTTAACTGCGAAAAGGATGGCATCAAAGAACTGCTTGGTCAAGAACTTAGAAGCCGTTGAGACCCTAGGTTCCACATCCACCATTTGCTCTGACAAGACGGGTACACTCACGCAGAACAGAATGACTGTTGCCCACATGTGGTTTGACAATCAAATCATTGAAGCAGATACCACAGAAGACCAATCCGGTAACACTTTATGCATTTTTCTCTCTCAATTTCAATTCTTTTTCTGCATTTATCTTCGGTAGGCTTAAATTAATGAACGCTAGAATTTTGTCTCTAGCATCTTTTATCAGAAAGCACCATGTAGCTAGAGATTAGATCTCTAGACCTGGGCGATCGCCCTTACATATTGACGCTACGTGTGATCCTATATCCAGGTTACTTTATGATCAAATTTGATTGTGATAGCACACCTTTATCTTATCGTCTTTCTCAGTGAAAGAAACGGGTGCACCAGCTGCCGAGTGGTAAAACCGCTGAACACTGGTAGTTCCGAGCTGGATTCGAATGTAGGTGAACAGGCTGGCTGCATGGGCGTTTTCGTGGGTTTCCCCATGGGTAACATGTATGAAAGCCAATTTCCCTTAGAAAGTTCTCCAAGAACTTAGGCAGATAGCCATAGTGTGCTTTGCAGTAATAAACCAAATCAAACCAACCAATGAAGGAAAGAATTTGCAGAATAACTAAAAATCTCTTCGTTTTAGTTTTGATGTGAATAAATGAAGTTCGAGGGATACGTATAAGTGCTTTCTCAAAGAGTTAATTAATAATTTAATTTTACTTAACGGTCTAGCGGCTAAATAATTATGACTAGTGAACACTGGTGCTTCAATCTATGTTCAAATTGTGGCAAACAGGCTGGCCTCATTGGTGGTTTCGCGTTGTCCCTAAGTGTAATGTAAATAACAGCCAGTTTTCCTTAAAAATTCCTCCAAGAAAGCATTTCTTAAGCAAAGGCTCTTGTGTGCAAGCATAAATAACTTGTAGAAACATTAGGTATTTTGTGGAAGCAGGCAAGATGAAAAATGAGCAATCGCCTTCGCTGGGAATCGAACCGCGGACCTCTGCATCTTTTTATCTTTTAAACCTTTATATATCGAAATTCTTTGGAGCTCTCGGAATCAGAAATACACCACATACGCGTTTAAATGGTGGATTAGATATCGGTGATAATTTATCACCTTTCTTTATGGCTGTCGCCATGGTAGTTTTGCGATTTTTTAAAATGCTGTCACGAAAAATCTTTTACCGGGAGCACTGAATTGCATAGAATAAACGCGCTTATGAAATAGCATTCTAGATGTTTGATGGAAAACAGTATTCATCGTGCATAAACATACATAAACAGTATTTATATGCATAAAACATCGTATTTTTCATTATGCAATTAAGTCAATATGTAGTCTATGGGAACTTAACACAAAAATAAATAAAATTTAAAACGCTGAGCCATTATGACAATGCAAAAGGTGCACTGAAAATGTACTTTTAGCGCAAAACATGTACAGGTTCCAGTGACTCAAACTTACAAAATTGTCTAATGTTTATAAAAGCTTTTGAATTTTTGTGTAAAATTTTGAGCGGAATCTACATCTGTAATCTACCGAAAAATTACGTAGATTTTGTCTTTTATTTTTAAGCTGAACTTGTCCTCTCTCTAACGTTTAAATTTGAACTTTGTTGGCTGCAAATAAAACATAAATAAATAAATAAATAAAAATACCGAATGACTCTGAAGATGCTATGGCTTAGGAATATGTAATGCTCTCCTCTGTAGTTTTATGTTCGTTTGTAGTTATTTTATGCTATGTTTGTCAAGAAAATATTTCAATTTACTTATCGAGTCATTATTAGGGAGAAAATACAATTTTCGTGTTAAGCACTTTTTCCCTATAAGAATCATAAACAGAATTTTATATACAGCAGTGAATGAAAATTTGAAGTAGTGAGAACTAACAGAATAAGAGGAAAAACTAGAATTATGGTATGTTAAAATTAGATTCAAAAATGGAGTGCAGTTCTTTTAAGGTGCACATTGCTATAATAATGTGCCTATACGAAGAGAGAAATACATTATTTTTTCAAAGAGTTTTAAAATTGTAGAGTCGTTAGATTATTTAGAAACAGGAGACATGAAAAATGAGCAATGCCCTCGTCGGGACTCGAATCTTAGACCTCCCGAATACGCGCCGAGCGTGCTGACCACTACACCACGAAAGCGTGCTAAGAAGGCGGAGAAATACCTTATAAAATGTTTACCCACTCGATTTAATTGTATCTTTGAAATATTTTGTGAGATGCGATGCATAATTTTTTTAAAATGCAAATAGAATTTCTAGAAAAAAGTGAAGGCTGTAAAGTTTTCGAAGAAGTTTCTTCTTTTCTGATTTTATTTGGGAAAATGACACTGTTAATATGTATGTATATGACGATATTCGAAGGAAAATACATGATAAAATTTGTAATACTTCTAAACAATTCTTAATAAATTTTCCAATAATTTAGTTCATAAGTCAATGTTCTGTCAAAAAATGTGAAATAATTTAACCTATATTGATAAGCTAATTTTAACTAAATTAAACTTTTGATCAGTACTATTTACAGTGGTGAATTAATATACCCACAAGGGGTATGAATAAAATACACCTAAAGGCATATCTTTCTTCTTTTGATACAGCAGCTAATCCAACATATAATTCTGAAAATTACCGAAATGTGAAAGCAACTTTTTATTTCCTTGTGAAGTAAAGAAATTACTGTAATCGCAAAAAAAATGCGGGTATCATATTTCAACGAAAATATCCGTTTCAACTGCTCTCGAAAACATGCTAACAATGTTTTTTCGTGCCATCTGTACGTAGGGAAAGAATAAAGGACTGTTTTTGCCAAAAAGGATCTTAAAATTGATTTAAAATGGATTCAGAAGACATTTTTTCTTGATGTCTGTATGTACGTATGAACAGCCGTAAAACGTTGAAATTTTGTATATAGGACTTCCATAACTGCTAAAGCTGATATAAAAATTGAGAACCCACTCTGCTACCTGGCTCGATGAGCTCAGTATTTTTATTTTTATGTGTTGGTAAATTGTACACTGTTTGCTTCAAAGGGGATTGAATTATGTGATTTTAATGTTCCGGTTAAGGTTTTTTATGCCTTTAGTTAACCTGCATACAATAGTAGTAGAATTAACAACAATTTAAAAGTGGTGAGTTAAGCTTAACGAGGCCGCCATTTTTCATTTGAAACTCTTAGTAGAATAGTAAATTAAATCAGTTAGTGCACTACAAGCAGTGCCTTTTTGCCCAGTGAGACCGAAAGTAACTTTCAGTTTTGTACACCGAAAAATCTTCCTTCTCTCTCGCTGGCCCAATTGCTTGTTTTTTCATAGAAACTGTAACTTTTTTAAAACTTTTTTAACTGCATTTTGTGTTTTTTTTTTTGTTTTTCTATATTTTATAATTTGTAATGAAGTTTTTCTGCATTTTTGTTTTGTCGCGAAGTAAGAACTGAGTTAATTTAATGAGAAACATATCTTCAGCGAAATTCGAGAAAATAAGTTTAAACGAAATGCAGGCAAAAATCTGTATAATAGCTATACAAGGAAGTCACCTGATGTCCACATCAGATTTTGTAAAATTTGAATGGGTTTTGTTACAAACAATAACTGTAAATTATACTTGCAGGCATTCAGGGCTGTTCATATATTTAAGTTAAATAACATACTACATATATATGAAAGTACTAGCAAACGAAATGAAGCTTACATTTAATTATATAAAAATGACAAAATAAACCGAAATTCTGTGTAACACAGAATATATGTGGGTTCTGGTTACAAAGTAAATTCTGGTCAACAGCATGTTGGGAAAAGGAAGACGCCTGAAATTTTTCATTCAGTGATACTGTAATAAACCTGAGGGTACTTCTAATTGAAATAAAGAATCCGAAAAAAATATTCAAATAAAAAAAATATTGACTTCCACTGAAGTATCCTTTATTCAACTCCACGGTAGAATACGTTTAAGTTTTTCTATTTCGAAATATTACTTTCCTTTTCATAAGGTGAGTTTGGGTTTGAGCTACTTTTTTCAAATAACATAAATATACCTGAATGAAAAGAAACAAACGCGACGAATCAATTCCTGTTTACCGATATCGGAAACATGCTTCAAATAATTCCTGCGAAATTTCAAAGAACTATCATTCCTTTGAGAAAAATCGTAATAGAAAATGTGTCATTTCTATTCCAGGGCCTTTTCCTTTCATCAAAGAGAACTAATGGATTCTAAAAACATCCTCTCGTTTCTTTTGGAAGTGAGATATTTCCGTTTCACAGGAGGCGATTTTAAATTGATTCAGTGGGAATCCTTCCCTTTTTATTCCTTTCTAGTAAGTGCAAGAACATTCTGACTGTCGTTTATCTTAATCGCGTGCAAAAGCTTTCGATTAGATGATGACGTGCATTAAAGGCCACCAGAGGCAGTCCATGGTCACTAGTTCATAAAGGTTCCAATCCGGATTAAAATAAATACCCGAGAAAACAGTAATGATTTCGCTTTAGAGTATACAATGGGCTGTAATCAATGGCTCATCCCGAATACATAAATTATAGAAAATAGAAGTCTTTTCTTCATAATAGGAATACACTAAATTTAAAACCTTCAATAGCCTACCTCGGAAAAATTAATTTTTCACTGTGTATATTCCTTTTATGCGTTGTCAAATATTAAGGGAGAGGGGTTAATAGTTAAATTCTAGCCTACTTAAAAAAAAAAAAAAAAAAAAAAAAAAAAAAAAAAACACTTCTAACCCTGAATTTGAATTATTAATTTTCCTTTCGTTTACTTCTATCGTCTTCTTTTTACTTTATAAAAAATATTTTGTTTTAAGGCCTGTGACAAATGCGTATACACACACTTTTGTAGATGCATAAGTGCTACAGGTCAGAGTTTCTTAAACTGTGGGTAGCGGGACCTGCAGCAGGGGATCGCCAAAAATTTTAGAAGTTTTGATATTTCTTTAACTTGTTATAATAATTTTACAATTACAAAATATTTTTACACGGTGTATCTGAAAATAGATAAAGATAAGGTAATACAGACAAAGAAAAAACGAAAACGTTCCGACGAATTCTTTTTATAATATAAACGTTCATTTTCCTTGCTTTTCACGTGACGCTGTCATTTCGTCTGTTACTTATTTAAAATTTTGACATTGTTCCATGTCTTAAAATTAGAAATTAAAGTTAATGACCTAAAACTGCAATAGTATATTACAGTACAAGTGAAAAAATTGTCAGTTTCACTCACGCACATGTCGGATTTGCGCAATACTTATGGAGTCTCACAAAATTTATGGAGTCCTTGGGGTCGCAAAAAAATCTCAGTGATAAAAAGGGGTCGCCACTGAAAAAAGTTTAAGAAACCTTGCTATAACTAATTACGTTCGCTGTCACTTTGAAGTGCAGTCTTTAGTTGAATTTCCCCTTTACCGTAATTTTTTGATTATTCGCAACTCCAGTCACAATTTGTGAAAGAATTCGCGCACAAAACGATATTGCAGACTGAAAAATTCCTGTGAGGATTTTAAAAGCTTCAAAACGCCACCTAGACGGGAAAATGGTAAGCGACGCTGACTGCCGTACCAAAGGGCTCGGGTTCGAAACCCGGAGAAGGCATGGGTGTTTGCAAACGTATAGCTCCTGTGCGGCAGGGGTGCACTCAAAATATGCGTCGAGCCGAAAGTCTTCTCGAGAGGTGGTAGAGGAAGAGGTTTGGGATGTCAAAGATATTTTGTCAAAGATATTTTCGTTGAGATAAGGATTTTTCACGATTACAATGCTTTCTTAACTTCGTATAAGGAAGTAAAAAGAAATAAAGAAGTTAGATGTTACGACGAAGTCTTGAAATCCTTTCCATTTCGGTTGATCTGCTAACACCCGCATAGAACGTAGGTATGATATCATATGAATTCTAAATTATGGACGACTACCTTGTTAGACATCCATTTCATTTCCTAGACAAATAGAATTTTCTGTGATGTTTCTCTGAAGAGCACACAACAGGCTTCTGTTGAAGCATTCACTACAGTTTATTTGCATTCATTAGTCATTCTCGAACTATAAATTACGCAGTTCTGCGACACTTTTAGGCCAAACACGAATGTAATGACGACGTACAAATTTATAAACGTCTGATGAAAGCTTATGAATGAGTTTACTTAGTATGATATTATAATTACAAGCATGCTAGTAAGCGTGTCATAACTATATGGAATTACGATTCCAGCAGTTCATTTATATCTATTGTTTCATCTTGTAATTCAATGCTGAAGTTATTCTTACTTTATACTGTGCCTGTTGTGTTATTGTTAAAACAGAACTGAAATATTAACTAATAAAGATTGCTTATTATTTCTTTTCGAAGGAAAAATGTAAAGTGCTATTTAAAATTCAAAACGTTAATACAAATTTTTAAAAAACCTTCTTTAATACTGTTACGTTATTTTTCACGTTCGTACGGGGTTTCGTAGATTTGGAGTGAATAACGACGACACTTGATGAAGTATCGAAACATATTTTATTTAGCAATATTAATCAGGACAGCTCCAAAATCACGTTTTTACAGTCGTCGAAGATCTGCTATACACTCGCTGGAAAAATCAGCGACACAGCCTTCAGGTTATCAGGCTATCACGGTGGAGACAGCTTCACTGCAAAGCACCAGAGTACAGCTCCAGACTCTGCCGGGTCGTTCTCGGAACTCCACGTACTCTCGAGACTTTCCACGCTACAACTCGCGATGCATTCGACGACACACAGAGCACAGCTTCGGTTCAGTCGCCCGGAGCTCAACATACTCTTTCGACGATGCACTAACCGCGATACACGAAGAGACTCTTTCGATGCACTCGACGACCCACTACTCAGCACTCGCTGCCCGTCTGTCAACTCGATCCACTCTGCACGGACTGACTAACTCGAGACACTAACTATCTCGCACTGTAGACGAAGACCTCTAACTGACTGCGTACCAGTAGGGTTTATATAGCTTTCGGCTTGTGTTGGAGAACATTCTGGGCTAAACCGGTAAGAATTCATTCCAGAAGGTTCTTCATCCGTCCATGGCATATCACCAATTTTGTCGCCAAGTGGGCGATTTCTCCCTAAATGTGGGCAACTCTACCTTCCCTTGCCATTTTATGGCAACTCTAAACTTGCTTTGCGGGGAAGCTATCTTAGCGTACCTCTACATTTCGTAACAATACACTACAGCTTCGGTGTTCAGACGGCTAGTATGCAATAGGCCGTCGAACCGAGACAGTAGTTAGCGAATCTGACCGTACCGAAGGGCCCGGATTCGAATCCCAAAGAAGGCATGGATGTTTGTAAATATATAACGTCTGTGCAGCAAAGGAGCACTGTAAATACGCGGCGAACCTAAAGTAAATACTTTCGAGAGGTTGATGGTAGGCGAAGAGGGGTGGGAGACACTCTGACCTGACTGCCCGGGGTGCTCATCATCAACATTGGAGGCGGAACTGAGCAAAGTCGTACGGTCACTTGAATAGTTCTCAAGGCTTATGCCAACGAAATGCGCAATCTTGCACTCCTTGCTACGACGACTTTAGTAAGCTTGTTCTGATATTACTGTAAAACAAGTGAGATAAGTCACAACAACAGAGTGCAATAGGAAGATAAGATAAAAGATTCGAAGTTGCAGTCTCTTAGCCTAAAATAAAATTGTATATTTCATTCCTAATGATTTGATATCGTGAAGTTATAGAGTACTCATATCAGCGATTTTTGTCAATAACTTAACGCATTAAATTCAGATAAATGAAATCTAGGTATAACGAATTCAAAATATCATGTGGTAAATTACACCTTTTAATTACGATTAATATGAACATACGCTGCACTTGGCAGCAAATAGCGGAAACTCGCACAAATAAATACTTTTTTAAGATGAGAACTTGGTAACTGTTTATACTTATTTTACCGTAAGTGTATTAACAGTTCACTAAAGTCGCCTATCAAAAGTAATTATCCACTTTAACAATCTTAGACTGTTTCAAGTGAAACTAGTACCAATAACTTTTGATGTCATTTTCAATTTATCCTGAGCGATTGAGTAATTCAGTTATAATAATTCGAGAAAATAAAATGAAGTTCTGTAAAAATGCGTATATAATTTAATGGGCTATACAAGGAAGTCATGCAGGTTTTTTATATTACTATTTCTTATGGATGATATTATTTTACTTTTCGTTATTAATATTTTGTATTTTGTCTTATTTAGTTTCTGTACTTTTTCTTTTGAGTCGGGAAACAAATGTTTGTTGTTCATTGTTTTGGGATAATAATTGTATGAAGATCCATTTTGTAATCCGTAGGTGTTCAATATGATAAGACGTCAGCAGGATGGAAAGCTTTGGCTCGGGTAGCTTGCCTCTGCAGTAGAGCTGAATTTAGGGTAGGCCAAGAGAATATACCTGTACTCAAGAGGTAAGTGATTCTTCAGTTCGTTTCTTAAGATCGTAGTCTTAGCTTATGAGAAGTTTAAAAAAAATATTCCTCCAGCGACAAAGCCCCTTTGCTGAAAATCTGAGAGGTTTCAGATTTTAAATTACGTCCAAAGGGATGTTTTTTTAACGTTTTGTGTGTTACCTTTATTTATTAAATATCATGTTCTTTGCACTTAAACCATAAAATTCAGTTCAGTAGCAATGTCGCAAAATAATTTAAAAATGAGCCTATCTTTAGAATTTCCGATTCACAGTTCCGCGCCCGCTGGAGATAAAAAGTCCCCCCCCCCCGCCATTGCTAGCTTTCAGATCGTTGAGTTTGTTACTCAAAAATTCGTTAAGTTTTACAAAATATGAAATTGATAATAAAACAAATTCCAAATTTCAAATTTGGGCTTCCACATGCCAATATTCGCAGTAGGACTCTATGTACCGTTGTGTTATCCCAATGCGAGAAATAGACATACATTTATGCAGATTTTTCATTATTTAATTTCTTCAAATATAATGCAGGACTCTAAAAATTGGTGGCAACAGTTTGGAAAGTGAAACGGACATTTAGAGTTTCAACGCAAAATGCCAAAACGAAAACCGTGGTCCTTGGAAAAATAAGTTAAAAAGTTACAAATATGTTAATTAATATATTAATTAATATTTTATAATAATAATAATTAAATATTTTAAAATAAATAATAATTTAATAAATTAAATAAAACTAATAATTAAATATTTTAATTAATGATTTTTAATTAAACATTTTTTTGTTTAATTATGATAATTTTTATGTTTAACTTCTTCAAAGTGATGAACACCTGTATTTCGTGTGGTAATTAATGTTTAATGAAAGAGGGAAAAAAAGTGTCAAACTGTTTTCGGGAGCTCATAGCATCTTTTCGAGCAATGGAATTTATTTTCAATTAGAAAAACTGTACTAAAAATATTATCAATAAGATGGTATGTTAGAGTAAAATGAGCGGAATTTAGGAAATGTTTGATTCGTTTTGAACTAATGAACATTCTTTCCTCTTAAATAGCTTCTTTTTTTATTAACACATTCTCCTGATTAATCTTTTGGTAGGGAATTCTAAAAGCATTTCTCCGCAGCCGGTAGGATTCGAACCTACGCGGGAAAACCCCAATGGATTTCGAGTCCATCGCCTTAACCACTCGGCCACGACTGCTACGTTCTCGAGCTTCTATTTACTTCTACACCAGCTGTAAATTTCCTTTAAGATAACAAATTCTGCTCAAATGCATTAAACAGTGAATTCCCATATCGTGCTAAAGACTTATCTCACTTCTAATGCTATATAAATTCAGAAGTTATTTTAAGAATTTTTGTAATTAGAAATATGCGTCTGGGATAGTTATTTAGAGAAATAAAGACCTTAACCAGCATATAAATATTATATATGTAAAATATAAAATACGTAACTTAAAATTTAAACCTGAATTAGCAATAGCCTCGCAATTTTTCATTTTAATTTGTATATATCCCCTTTTCTGCTCTAAAAGTAGAAATTGTTTATAATATATTTTCGGTAAAAATATATTTACGGGTGCCCCTTGGCGCTAATTGGCGGTACATGGACACCGAGTTTGTGCAATTCTTTGACTTGTTATTTTGGCTGCTAAAAATCGCCGCTACACAAATCTAAAATAACAAGTCAAAGAATTGCATAAATTCTATCTATGTACACATCGACTTCACTTAAAAAAACATCAGAAACTTGCAGAAACTAGGCATTGCGCACTCCCTTTGTTCATGTACACATTGATCTATATTCACTTAAAAAGTCAAAAGATCAGCCAACAAAAAATATACGAGTATAATCTCAATAAACTACATTTTAAATTAAGCAATGAAATAACATAAAAATGGAAATTCATCTTAGCACTATACAAAGGAAATACCCACTTACCTTATTTACGGATTTACGAGTCTTCTGTCAAACAAAATTTCTTAACAGCATCCAAAAACTTCCTAAAATTATCTGAACTAGAATTTGTATATTGGCGTCGCCACATAAATTCACAAAAATAAGAGTAAGAAATATCCTTCGTAGTGCCGATATCGTCTGACGTTCGACCATACGCATTTTCTTCCTACAAACAAGACACTTAAAAAAGGCTACTAAGCAAACATTCATTTACACACCAGACAATTAATGTTTTTTCACCTTTCGTTCTAAGTCGTACAGAACTTCAAATTAATCTTGCCACATTCAGCCATTTTTCCATGTAAAACCAAAAATAACAACGCGCTAACCACATTTTTTAGCTTGCGTCTTTCCGAAGTAATCCCTTTTATTCTTGCTAATGTAATCCTGCAGTGCAACAGTTCTTACTTAGGGTCACCAAGATACCTTTTCACTATCTCCCGCTTATACAAGATGCGCACTTACTTCTTTCCTTGTCCTACTTTGTCTTGCTGCGAAAAACAAGTATTATTTTCTAAATATGTGAACAGCTATGCAAAATTGTGAGCTGCTTATGACAAGCAAATGATATGAAAGTGAGAATGTGTATTTCAAGAATGCAAATTATGTGTTGTCTACGCCCCATTCGCAAGTTTTTCTTTTCCGTTATGCATACTATGCGGCTATGTAGCTTGTCATCAAAATATTTTAGGAAATTATTACATATTAATGCGTGCGTTTGGATTCCTAATAGAATTGAATGAACCTGAAATGATGATAATTTGATAAAATTAATTTTACCAAAAGAAAAAAATGACAGTTCTAGAACTTTTCCCAAAAATACTCGTACAGTTCCTCTCAGTATCACGGAGTACAATCAGTAGTACAAGAACCAAGAACGTTAAATCCAAAGCAATGCAAAGCGCATCTAAAGAGCGAAAAAAGGTTAGTTGATATTTAGTTGAGGTTTCCTTCATCTGAATTCTTTAAAATCACGATTATGTTATAAGGTGTTTCTCCGACCTTCTTGGCGTGCCTTCGTGGTGCACTGGTTCTGCACGCTGGACCGGTATTCCAGAGGTCCGTGGTTCGATTCCCGGCGAATGCGCTTGCTCATTTTTTATCTTGCCTACTTCCAAAAAACACCTAATGTCTCTACAATGTTTTGAAAAAAAAAATCCATTCTAGATCTGTGAAATGAAATTTCAATTGTTTTGTGTTCTAGTTACTTGTCGATTTAGCAATCAAAGCGTAAAAAAAAAAAAAAAAAAAAAAAAAAAAAAAAAAAAAAAAAGTCTGTAAATTTAGGCGCCTTAGATGGGGGGGGACATTTTACTGTCTTATTACTTGGTTTTAGTTATTATTATTATTTTTTATATTACTTGGTTTTGATTCTTAAGTCAGCAAGTATAGCATTATCAGTAAATAATTCTAGTCTGCAAATATCGCATTCAGTTAGTAATATAGTTCTGTCGGTACTATAGTTATTGTTGACAATATGGATAGTTTCAGTCAGCAAGTATAGCTTTTTCCGCAAATTCTTCTTATTTTGTATGCAACTTTCTGTTTTTTGTATATGTTTTTGTTTAACTATTGCATATTTGAGCCTAGTATTTTTACAGATAACTTGTTTGTTTGTTCCGTACTCTCCTACTGTTCATATGCATTTTTTTTTTTTTTTTTTACCTTCCAAACTGTGTATCATTGCAAATTATGTATTCATTTCAAATTATGTATCTGTTTGCTAATACCAATAAACGGCTGGGATCACGTAGTGGGGAGACGGCGCTAAACCAATTAACCAAATGGTAAAGGCGTGGTGCCCGTCTTTCCCGTTCCTAAATCCTAAATCCTATACCATTTGGCAGATCGCCGGGAAAATTGACCAATAACGTATTCTAAAATTTCGAACCAAATTTTGATTCAGTATTTTAATGCAATATGTGATTCTGATGTGACTTTTTAGCTTACGTAATAATTTCTATTTTTTTAATTCTGATTGCTTCTATTTTTATTTCACAGAGACTGCATTGGCGATGCATCGGAATCTGCCATTCTGAAATGTATGGAACTGGCTATAGGAAGCGTGGCAACATACAGGCAGAAAAATACCAAAGTGTGCGAGATTCCTTTCAATTCCACGAACAAATATCACGTAGGTGACGAAAAACAAATATCTTTTTACTTCGTCAACTTTGTAATTCTATTATTATAACTTTCTTATTATGTTAATATTAATTTTAACTGTTTCTTTTAAAAATAAGGCTTCATTTAATTGGGGAGGGTAAATGTCTTAACTGGTTTAAGCCAAGCTTCGTGCTTCGTTGCTAGGTAACCAGACCTTGCTACGTCACAAAAACTGGTTTAGGGGCTTTTTGGCATAAATTTCGACGTTTCCAGCTTTATGCCGACTTGATATAAGAGTTGACCAGTCAGAACGAAAGCGCGAAACTTGAACGGGAAAACAGAGCGGGAAAGCTGTAGACACATCTACGCATGCTCAAATTTAGTTTTCCTAATTGGCTACGGCTTATATCCTGTCTCGCAGGTGTGAACGGAACTCCCACATTTTATGCCTTATGACTAAGCCTCTATGACATTTATACCACCGTACGGAGCATTAGGACACAAACTGGTACCTTAGCATGTCGACTAACAGTTTTCTGATTACTCTAATTCTCATTCATTCAACGTCCCTTAATAGAAGATCTCATTTTTTTATTAGGGGGTATAAGCCCACCAGCAGCCGAGCGGTAGAGTCGCTGAACTTTGGTAGTTTGGTCCGAGTTCGAATCCCGGCGAACGGGCTGGCTGCATGAGCGTTTTCTTGGTTTTGCCCGTATGTAAAGTGTATACAAGCCAGTTTCCCTTAGAATCTCCTCCACGAAGGCATCCCTCTCCTTAGGCAGAAAGCCCTCGAGTGCTTTGCCATAATTAACACGTTGACTGTCGTTGGGGGAGGGTCCCCGGTGGCCAGCACTCGGCTACAACGCCGTGGGGGTGGCACCGGTGCCCGGGGACGAGACCAGTAATAAAAATAATTAATTAGAGTAAATATTGATGGATACTCACAAAATTTTAAATAACGCCACTGTTAATATAATGGTTTAAAAAATAATAAATCGCAAAAATGGTTAACAGCGCCTCATGGGTCCCCGGTGACCTTCCACCCACCACAAAAAGTACATTAAACACGATTATCTTCTATACTCACCTTATATTCTGTATATAATATTTAAAAATAATATACATAGCATAATAAAAAAAATATGTTGGCGTCATGGGCAAACCACGTAAATTGCTCGTGGCAGTCAATGTATTAAATAAACCAAACGAAATTATTATGGGGTGTTGGTTTACATACGAAGAGTGCTGCTGAGTTAAGGAAGACTCCAAACAGCTTCGAGTTATTCCTACACGATCCTGACTACCTGAATTGTATATATAATGGTAACAGTCAACAAACGATGAATTTCGTGAGCTTGCTCTGCTTTCGTGAGCTTTGTCAGACAAGTGGGATAAGTCACAAAACAACAGGGAACAAATATGATTTGTTTGATCTGGCCTTCCGAAAATTCCAAAATAAACGCTAATTCCAACGTTTATGTTAATAAGAAGACTTTCAAACGTAGCTGAATAAAAATAAGTCTGTAAAATCCAGGGTATTTTGTTTAGAAAATATGTCTGTTGCTTCAACTTTATTAATAAAAGTAGTAATGTACAATAAATATCAGCCTCGTCTTAAACATTTTACTACGCTTCAGTGAATTTTAATTAAAGGCTATATTTTTAATATATTGAAATTCAGAAGCATTGGAGCTATTTTAATCAAAAGTAATTATGCCACAAGATTGGAAAATGTTAAATGTAACCAGCGAATTAATAACATTTTATTAATACAATAAGACAGATAATTATTACTTTGCAAAATATAATTTTAATCAAACTGAAGAGATTGAGTTTTAAACCGCAGCAACAGTTTTCATTTCAAAGCTTTTTTTCCGATTAATTTAGGACAACATTAAAAATAATTTCCTACTCCATGCTTACTTTTTTGCGTTAATAAATGTAAAGGTGTTAGTATAGTCCAGTATAAACTTTTGTATAGCCTGATATTTTATTCAAGCATATTAAACTCAAAAAAAATATATCCTTATTATACTTCATGTTGTAGTAAAGGTTTGCTGTAGTTGAAACTTTTCAAATAGCTTTTATTCACATTTTTAATTTACAGTTCGATTATATATTTAAATTTAATTAAATTTTATAATGGAATAATGAGCGACAGATCATGGCATTCTGCTTGCGTAAATCGTCATTCTCCGTGCGATTCTCGAGCGGTAAGCATCAGCACACAAAAGTGGAGCTCGGCGATTTACATTTTATCCTTGGGGATGCGAACGGACTCTGAGCAATTGCTCAATGAAGGAAGGTACTTGAAAATCGTTATCTGTACCTTCTTTGAGTTGTTGCTCAATTTTAGCTACAGCCCCATGAATCAGCTTTGCGTGTCGGCGAGGTTCGGCGTTTAGGTAGCTATGCAAACTACCACGGAGAATGACAGGGAATAATTTATGTCAGAACACTTTTGCCTAGCTTTTTCTAGATTTGCAAGATCCTGGATTTAACATCAACCATTTGTCAGGCTCACTGAACAAGACATTTCTTTGTGCAAAATCTGTATGTATCATCTTATCTGTGCGAAGTATACGTATGCGACTCAGCATTAGCCCACCTGATGAACACTGACTGAGCTGTAGTTTTAATTTAGAACTTGTATTGAAATATGAACAAGCTTTCATCTTTCGCATACAGTTGCTTAGAGTTTATGTATCTCATGAAGAGTGTTTTATAAAATTTTTTCTTTTTATGTGTAATTTATGCTTTGTGTTATATGCTTGATGTGTATTTTACTTATATTTATATTTAATATTCTATGTTCTCTATTTTGTATTCTGGCATTGCAATATATTTCTTGCATCCTCTTTCTTCATAAAAGTAGTCATTGTATCGCCACCTATCCCTTATATGGCCATATAAATTACCTAAATTCTTCAATAAAGGTTGGATTGTGGAGGACGAGAGGCTACACCTGCTTGCCTCTGGTAGACGCCAGGTGTATCAGTCCTCCGTCCATGGCCTAGCTTTTAACACAACGTCCTGTATCAACTCAAGGTGTGATTTCTACACATACTCTCAATTACAAAACTAGCTTATTTCGGTTCTCGCTACCTGTCTTCACATTTTTGTCATACACTTTTGATCAACCTTGGATAAAACGTTTTGTGGCTATACTTATAAATTTTTAACTATAAAAGGTCATTGAAACCAAAGAAAGAAATGTAATTTACAAAAGAAAGTTATATGTTTGCCAGGATTTAAAAGAAGTATATTCTATAACATTACAATAGATAAACTTATAAGGTATTTCTTCCTTATAAGTTTATCTATTGTAATGGCTTTTCCAATTAACCTAATGTCTCTACAGACGTTTTGCAGATCTGCAGGAAATATTCGCGGAAATTCGTTTAATTACACCTTGGTAAGGAACTCTAAATCCAATTCAAGTTTTGTACCCAAGATAAGACCATATTAAAATTAAATGCAAAGTCGATGTTGTAGCTCTTAACTTAAATCCTTTTGCCAACTCAATTTCAACCGGATAACCTTGCTTAGGTTACGCATTATCACAGCAACTCATTGCCAGTAAAAAATAAAAAACTTGCAAACAACTAAATAACAGTAACTGAATGTGTTTACTTGGAATCACAATTTTCAGTCTTGAAGGTTCACTGACTTACGAAGAAATATACAGGTGTTGGAATAAAGCCATCATTAACAGTTTTCAGTTCCAAACACTAAACTAGGCAGACACCAGGAAGAACTTTTTCTCCAATTCGAAAATTTCTTTCGTTCTCCCCATAACAATAACAAGTACTATTTTGTCTTACACGAAACCATTCATTGCCAAAAGAGCAACCATTTTTATGCTAATGCTTCCTATATTTGTTTTCTGGGTTTTGAGTTTAAATTAGTAATAAAGATAGAAAAATGGTTTAAACAATAAATACATTCTCCAATATCTCCTTCAGCTTTAGCTGTACAGGCATGAAACATTTTGTTTCTAACTGATTAAAGCTACGAAATTTTTACTTTTAATTTTTACTCTAAAGAGCTAAACAAAAAACTAGATTTTATATTTTGAAATAGCCTCCAGAAAGAAAGAATACAGACACAGAAACTCTGATGATGAAAATGTTTACATAAAAATATTCACTTTATTATGGAAAATTCTTGAACCATACATCTGGTATCCTTATTTAATGAAACGATCCTGTAATCATCTATTTCGGAAAACCAGTCTATTGATACAATATGCCAGTTTTTCAAAATGCATAATTTATGCTTTCAATTCTTCCAGGTAACTATTCATGATTTAGAGGATGGGACAGGCTATTTACTGTGTATGAAAGGTGCTCCTGAACGGATATTAGATCGCTGTTCCACTATTTTCATACATGCCAGTTTTTCAAAATGCATAATTTATGCTTTCAATTCTTCCAGGTAACTATTCATGATTTAGAGGATGGGACAGGCTATTTACTGTGTATGAAAGGTGCTCCTGAACGGATATTAGATCGCTGTTCCACTATTTTCATACATGCCAGTTTTTTTTCAAAATGCATAATTTATGCTTTCAATTCTTCCAGGTAACTATTCATGATTTAGAGGATGGGACAGGCTATTTTACTGTGTATGAAAGGTGCTCCTGAACGGATATTAGATCGCTGTTTCCACTATTTTCATACATGCCAGTTTTTCAAAATGCATAATTATGCTTTCAATTCTTCCAGGTAACTATTCATGATTTAGAGGATGGGACAGGCTATTTACTGTGTATGAAAGGTGCTCCTGAAACGGATATTAGATCGCTGTTCCACATTTTCATACATGCCCAGTTTTCTTCAAATGCATAATAATTATGCTTTCAATTCTTCCAGGTAACTATTCATGATTTAGAGGATGGGACAGGCTATTTACTGTGTATGAAAGGTGCTCCTGAACGGATATTAGATCGCTGTTCCACTATTTTTCATACATGCCAGTTTTTTCAAAATGCATAATTTATGCTTTCAATTCTTCCAGGTAACTATTCATGATTTAGAGGATGGGACAGGCTATTTACTGTGTATGAAAGGTGCTCCTGAACGGATATTAGATCGCTGTTCCACTATTTTCATACATGCCAGTTTTTCAAAATGCATAATTTATGCTTTCAATTCTTCCAGGTAACTATTCATGATTTAGAGGATGGGACAGGCTATTTACTGTGTATGAAAGGTGCTCCTGAACGGATATTAGATCGCTGTTCCACTATTTTCATACATGCCAGTTTTTCAAAATGCATAATTTATGCTTTCAATTCTTCCAGGTAACTATTCATGATTTAGAGGATGGGACAGGCTATTTACTGTGTATGAAAGGTGCTCCTGAACGGATATTAGATCGCTGTTCCACTATTTTCATACATGCCAGTTTTTCAAAATGCATAATTTATGCTTTCAATTCTTCCAGGTAACTATTCATGATTTAGAGGATGGGACAGGCTATTTACTGTGTATGAAAGGTGCTCCTGAACGGATATTAGATCGCTGTTCCACTATTTTCATACATGCCAGTTTTTCAAAATGCATAATTTATGCTTTCAATTCTTCCAGGTAAACTATTCATGATTTAGAGGATGGGACAGGCTATTTACTTACTGTGTATGAAAGGTGCTCCTGAACGGATATTAGATCGCTGTTCCACTATTTTCATACATGCCAGTTTTTCAAAATGCATAATTTATGCTTTCAATTCTTCCAGGTAACTATTCATGATTTAGAGGATGGGACAGGCTATTTACTGTGTATGAAAGGTGCTCCTGAACGGATATTAGATCGCTGTTCCACTATTTTCATACATGGCAAAGAGAAAGTACTAGACGAAGATATGAAAGAAGCTTTCAATGACGCTTATATGGAACTTGGAGGCATGGGAGAGAGAGTTATAGGTAAGCTTTGTTCTTATAGGTTGCAAAATGCATGAAATGGTCCATGAATAATCAGCAAAAATGTCTTGCTAGAAAAGACGGTGTTCTTGTGATACTTTCTTTGTAAAATTGCATTACATCAATGGATGCATGGAACCTATTTATAAATATTCAAATGAAACATACGTAACTTAATTTCTTTTGGTTTAAATTGCTTATAAATATTTTCTCAATTAAGAACTATTTTTCTGGTAGAAAGTTTTCTTCATTTAACCTGTAAAATTCTAGCTAATTTACGATGACTTTGTCTACTAGAACTTTTGTGGAAGTGCCTAGGGACTATTCGTTGGTCTTCCTACAACTATAAAATATATATCTAAAGAAGGGTTAAAATACCCTTTTAATTCCCTCAAACACTCAAAGACGCCCCCTTCTCGGGCTTACAGAAAGCCTCCACCTAGGCTTTAATATAAGATAGAAAATAAGAAACTAAACTAATTCTAACTAGCTGAACTTGAGCCGAAGTTGTACCAAGATAACTCATTGAGTTGGACCGTATTTAAACTTCACCGGCGACTACTAACAGGCACGTAAGACTACGGCCGTACGTAAATAGGCTTAAAGCAACGACGTGGTCCGAAGACAGAACACGCTCTATTGAGAACTTCTGAGCTCTTGTCCGGAAGTAACTGAGCTTCCCATTAAATACTGGTTTTACTTAATTTACATAAAACGCGTTACTGAAATCTCATTCTGGCAGGGAGTTGTAGTTGGTAAAAAAGAATTTAAAGGAAAGGGTGTCAAAATTTAAAATAACTATTAGAAAGTTAAAATCATCCCTACGAGCCCATGAAACGTTCTTAAAAGATTTTTTTACGTTTAAACATTTTTAAACTTTTGCGAATGTGTAAAATATTTTTCAGTCAATAATGAAAGTCAGAGGAAGCTTATAGCTCTGCATTATAAGAGGTATAAATATTTAAGCCCTATATTTTCCGATTTTTGTCCTCAGAGCGTCTTGAATGTAACATCCCATTAAAATTCCATATAATTTTTTTAAAATTAAAACAGTTTCCATTCAGCCCGTGCTTAATCTCAGCTGGAATGTACTCGACTCCGTATTTTGCACTGCTCATTTCTACAAAAATCGCGATTTCTGCTACATCTTACAAGGTCACTAAAAATTTAATATTTCTCCCCGAACAATTTAACAGCTATATAACCTGCAAATTACAGAAAATTAGAATCATGTTCTGCGAACTTAAACCATAAATTTCAATACAACAGCAGTAACATAAAATAATTTAAAAAGAGCATATCTTTAGAATTTCCGATACACAGTCTCGCGAGGTGAAGATATTTTTTTTTTCTTATAGTGTTGCCATTGCTCACTTTGAAATGGTTGAGTTTGTTAATCAAAAATCTTTAAAGTTGGACAAAATATGAAATAGATAATAAAACAAATTCCAAAGTGGGGCCTCCAAATGCCCATATTCGGGGGGGGGGAGAGGATTACGTTATTCAGAATTTGATGGCTGTAGGTACCGTTGTTTTATCACAGTGCGAGAAACATACATACACTCATAGAGATTCTTCATTATTTAATTTCTTTAAATGTTATACATGGCGATAATATTTGTTGGCAACAACTTAAAAAGTGATTTGCCGCTTATAGTGAAACGCCGCAAAGTGCCGTTTTGCGATTAATAGCCTTTCTGGATTACCTCCCTTCTGGGCTAAAAAAATTACCAAAAAGAGAAAAAAGAGAAACCTCTTGAAAGCGACAGAATTTTATTGAAAATCTACCCCGGTATAAGCTTGCCCAATTTTAGATTATTATATATTATTGATATAGCAGAAGATCCTAAAACCGATACCTATATTTCCTTTTTCTTTTATAAATGTATAATACTAGTTGAGGATTAGTGTCGTAATCGAGAAATTCCTTATCTGAAGTTAGGAGGGTTGGAAATTGATGCCTCTTAAATTTAAAATACTGCATTTTTTATACCTTAAGAATAAAATTGGATTTTCTGTGCAAATGCCTACGAGAGGATGTATTTTAAATCTTTACTTTTGTGAAAACTCTTACTTTTTAAGCATGGCTAGAAAACATAATTTCTGCGGGAACTTAAATATCTAATTCAGATTTTCTTTACTAAAAGAAATTCGTGTACAAGAACTCGGTAGTTATCTTTAGAGATATTTTTTTTTCTCTCTTTGCACAACAGTTTTACATTTCATGAACATAAAAACACTTTTATATGGATAAATATTCTCTTCAAACGCAGTTTTATTTTTGGGCATGAAGTTTTTTTTTTTTCTTGCTATACATATTGACTACTTTTTCCAAGAATAAATGCATTTTAAAGAGAACGCTGTTTTAGAAAACACCTTACACGTTTAGCGAGTCTGTAAAAGTTCTTACCTATATATTCTCTTTGTAGAAAGAAATATTATTCTCATGTCTGTGTAAACAGTCTTTCAGCCACAAACCCTATAAATACACAATATCTTCTTTTGCTGTGAAATTGCCGCTATTTCAACCTTTCAGGATTTTGCTTTTGCCTTTAGCTTTTCTCTTTCTCGTAGGAATTAAGCTTTATTTTGTATCTTATATGCTTTGTAAATTATTATGTGTTAAGTACTTCTAACCTGTGACATAATTTATTTTATTACTAGTATTGTAAGGTTTTCCTTAGTTTGCATAACAAATTATTTTAAGTTTCGTATCTTTCCTGAAACTCTCCTTTTCCCCTCCCGTTTTCTCCCCAGGATACAAATTTAAAGTTAAGTGAAAACAGTATAAAAACAGCCGAAACTAGAAGTTTATTGACTGCGTGATTTCGCTAGCCGTCGCATGTTACTATTTTGTCCCTGCTGCTGTTATACTGAGTTGCTGATACGCCTTTTGGCTATTTAATAAGTCTGCCGTTGGCAGGTTTTTCAATCAGCCTAGTTATCCTTAAGCTAAATTGTTAGGCCAAGACTACTATTTATTTTCGAATTTATTGTTAAATTATTCTGAAGTTCCCATTGCAAGTAGTCAGTGTTATCGTAAGCACGATGTACGTGCATTTGTATTAAAAGTTTCACGAATAATAATGGGTTTGTTCGAAAAGTCGCCAGGTTTCCTCGCAAGATCACATTAACTGTATGTTAGCAAAGAAGGTTAGATCTTATGATATTAGAATGAATTTAGCAATTATTAGCATATTTCGTTGTGTTATTTAAGAAACGGATACTTTGGAGTCCACAGTTTTCACTTAGGAACTCATGGAGCTCTTACCAGATGTAGTTATCCGTTATTTTAGTTTCCTGATGTTACTCAAGTTAATGCTGTTTCTACCATAAATTTTGATATTGGATCTCTTTAACAGTTTTAACTCGGCTCCTGTTTATCGTGATTCGTGGTCTAATGTTGCTATTGGCCCCTTTCTTAGGGAATACAACGAATTTTGTTCTATGAATCTTTATTTCCGATCTTGTTCACTTTCGGACAATAAAGGCAGTTTCGTCATCGTACGCAATAACTTGTACGTCCTCTGGTGATATGTTTTTGAATGTCAGATTCCATATTGATGAACCAAAATATGATCCTTGTAGACAGTCTCATGTTTGTTTTGTTCGATGACGCCATTGTGGGGAAGAATGATCTGCTCTCTGTCAATGAGACAGCGAATGAAGGCCTAAAAGATGTTTTCGGGACATGTAGCAAATTTCAGAAATTGAATAATGGCCGGCCGCTATATAATATAAAAAGCAAAGACGAGGTCGGCACTGAGAGTAGTTATGTGACAGCCACTATTCCTGTTATCTATGATGCAGTTTCTCAGGGTCATTAGAGCGGTTGTAATAGCTCTGAAACCATATACTGATGCTAGCTGATAGAATTATTTTTATGGAAGTAGTGCGTTAGGCGGTTAGTTTTGTGTTTTTCATATACCAACTTCAGTACTGAAAGAAGACATATTAGGCAGAACGAGTTTGGGAGGTTGGGATTTTTTTTTTAAGGAAAAGAATGACTAGTCTAATTTTGAAAGCGATGAGGAAGAGGCAGAATATAAAAGCTTACATTAGGATAAATGTAAGGAAACTGTTGCAGACGACAAGTACTATTGCATAGTCTGTGCCATCTGCTCCAGGGGCTACCTTTTTGCAAAGGAACCTTATCACACATCGTATCTCTTCCTTTATAAAATCTTAGTCACTTGGGACGTTGATTGCAGAATTATCTGTTCGGGTCCGCTGTTGTTGTACTGCATTTTTTCAGGGGTTGTGTACTGTGAAAACCGCGTCCAGGTTGTTTTTGAGAGCATGTGTTGCGTAATTTGTAAAGTTGACTCCTGGTAGCGACTGGAGACGGAAATGCGTTCGTTTAAAATCTTGTTAATTGCGATTTTGTATAGAATTCCATACATACTCGAATTTTTGCTACAGAATTCTCTCTAGCTTCGAATCTTCGATCTGTTGTTTAAATGTTAAGGCGTCTTTAATCTCTGGACATCTATTTTATACAATGAGATCTTTGTTTCATCACCTAAGGGAGTCTAATTTTTCCTGACTTAATAAGGTTTTATTGCATGTTCTTTGTATAACACTGAGACTGTAAAATGTCTAGTGTTATCACCTAGCTGCACTAGCTTGTAAACGTGGTACGAAGGCAGAGAGATTATGTTACATACGTCAATTGAATATATTCATTTTCCTTTTGGGAGTTTCTAGTGTTTTGTTTATATTAGTGGAATTAAGGATACTAATAGGAAATTTATTAAAATATTTATGGTAAGACAGATTATCGCCCTCTGGCTTTGGATCATTGTAGTGAATGTGATGTTAATATCAAATTTAATCTATTTATGGCCAGAGCGATAATTGTCCTCGTGCACTGTGAAGTTTTGAATACGATTGCTGGCTTGATGTGTAAAGATGGTACGGTCTGACCTGTGTCTGACATTTTATTTTTAAATAGCAGAGAGGCACCAGAAGTGCTGGGGAGTGTAAGGTTATTAGCAGTGATGTAATCCTCAAACTGTTCGCTTTCGGGCTGCGAAAAATCAGCTTGTGCTGTATGTAATCATAATCTCTTGCTTCAGGAAAATTTCTCCTAATAGAGATTCCCATTAGCTACCCTTAGTTCGAGGAGAATTCCACCGAATTCTCCATACTGAAATAACTACTCATAAAACCAAGTTTAAATCTTTCTGAACAGCCTTAGGACACACTAAAAAAAGGAATCTAAACGCGTCATTAACCACCAGGATCTTTAGTTTTAGGAGAAATTCTAGAAGACGTTTGTCAAGCTACTTTTCTTGAACAATTACGTAAAATAACATAACTACAGGCATTCCGCTTTCCGTCAACTAAATGACACTGAGCTCCCTCGCCCCGCCGAACCAGGCACAGGGGTTCAACCCTTGCCCTCCCACCTTGGAGAGAGAAACACAGTTATTATTTTGTGAAATTATTTTGTGACAAAATACCCAGAAATTATTTTGTGACACTGATCGTTATCAATGACTTGCTACCTGCCAGTCACACGGGCTGCCCGTCGCACCAGGACATAACCCAGCGTATCCGGGGCGCCATCCCCAGGCAGTACCGGGTTATTAGAGCCTTGAGTTCTTGAGTTCCTTGATATCAGACCATTGCGCCGACCAATAAGTGATTTTTTCCGGGCCTTTTGAACCACTAGGTTCATAACTTGTATATCCCCGTGGCCGAGACTGTCTAGGTACAGATCCTAGCCAGTAGCTTTGCAAATTTCTCTACGTCGACCCGAGGGGCGGAACAATGACGTAAATTGGTTAAATCCATTTCAAGTCATGCGACACCAGTTATCAAGGCCAAAGAAGAGGTACTTCAGTATTAATAAGATATCTCAGTGGCGCTTCAGTATGTAAAAAAGGATTTTTCTTTTTCCCTTCTGTTGCCTTGTGATTTTCCTGTTTCATGAACATTCTTAATTTACCAATTTTTTATCATCAATTATTTTTATAGCGCATTACAAAACAGATCCAAAACCAAAACCAAAACCAAAAGAACCAAAAAGTTTTATTAAAACATTAAATAATAATTAATTGTTCGACTTAAGATATTTATAAGCAATTAACTTCCTGTCCTCAGTTTCGTTTGTTCTGGATGATGCATTATAGTTATTTTTCATTTTGGAATAAATGTTAAGCAAAGCTGAATATATTGAAACAGCTAGAATAATTGTTTTTAATTTTTCAGAGCACGTATTTTATTAGTTTTTCTGCAAAGAAATGAATGGATGAAATGAAGGGATATTCAAATGTAATCGTTTTGCTAAAGAATATTAACGTTAAAATTGGACTCTAAAGTTATTTCTTTGATTTAAATTTTTTTTTAAATTTTAGAAAAATAGAACATCTGAAAGTGTATTCGCTTGTTGAATTAGTAAAAAGCCAATACCAAATTACCTAAAAATTCATTGATTCATTTCTGTAAACTAATTACCAAATTATAGTAAATTTTGATTTTCAAAATGCAGACTGCAAGTTTGTGTTGCATCTGAGACTATGCTAATCTAAATCCACATTTTCTCAAATTTTTTTTTATTGATACTACAACACCTATATATATATATCGTTTATATTTTTTTCCTCAGGTTTCTGTGATTACAAACTTCCGCAAGACAAGTTTAAACCGGGGTACCCATTTGATGCAGAAGAAGAAAACTTCCCCTTGTCTGGCCTAAGATTCGTCGGCTTAGTAGCTATGATTGATCCTCCTAGGGCTGCTGTTCCTGATGCTGTGGCCAAGTGCAGAAGTGCGGGTATCAAGGTAAGTCAGTTTATATCCTATAATTCATAACCGATCCCCGGGAACGGATCATTACTTTTTTTGTGAAGTATTTATAACTGTAAAAGAATCTGTTTAAAAAATTTCAAAACTTTATGCTTTAATATGATAATGCTTACATTGATTAAAATCTGCCCAACGCTCTGGTAATTGATTCCTCATTTATAAATTTTATAAGTGAAGTCCAATAAACTAGTTAAGAGCTATAATCGACAACCCTAGTGACAAAGCTGAATTAACCATTAAGCAATATAAGCACGAACTTAAGGCATCAAGGAAAGAGGGCACCACGAAAATATCCATAGAGGAAGAAAGTACCCAAAAATCTTTCTATTGCCTATTTTACCATGGAATGCATGGGGCAGCTAAACCTAATCCAAGAGAGAAAAAGATTGAAGGAAAATTGACGTAAGCACATGTGGGATCGAAACCTTTTAAGTGCTTAGGGCCTCAAAAAGTCTAATCTGGCCCTCTATAGTGAAAAAGTTGCTGATTATAGATCTTAACTTAAGTTTATGCTTGTCAAATAATTTGAACTAGCCTTAAGCTACCTCCATGGCAAGACGAATTGCAGCCAAAAAGGGAGGTGCACAACTACATGTTATAGGAGTCCCATATGCAAAATTTCAACGTTCTGACTGCTCGTTTTGAGTTATTCAAGGTACGTACGTACAGACGTTACGAAAAAATCTCTTCAGAATCCATTTTAAATCCCCTTTTTAATGTGTTTGAGGAAAAGAGTCCTTTATTTTGTCCGTACGTACAGATGTCACGACAAAACATCGTTCAAGTGGATTCGAGAGCGGTTAAAATGGATATTTTCTTTGAAATATGATGCCTCAAATTTTTCGCAATTACACTATTTCCTTTACATCCTACAAGGAAGTAAAAAATCCTTATTGTTTACGATATGTTTTTTTATATACGATTCATTTTCGTCACAGCTTGGCGAATAAGTCTCACTCACCAGCCGACGCTTTTTTTGAAATTTGTTAGATGACGGATATAACCTGGGCTACGAGTGGAAAATGTTCATTGGATACCAGATGCAATCTTGAAAGTCTTGTCGGTAATCTTGAAAGGGTTAAACTTCTACTTGCCACTCAAACAGGACTTTAGAAGTTATGGCGACCGCCCAGCACCGAAATAACTCAAGAGGTCCAGGTTCGAGACCTACCGAGGGCACTGCTTAGTTTTTATGTTTCTTGCTTCAAAATAACCTAATGTCTCTGCAGTGGCAGTGAAAACGGTGGTGGATGATGATTTTTCACCAACAGGATTTAGCGACTGTGTCCCCTAATCCCCAGCTGCCCTTTAAAAAGTAGGAGTATATAAGGTATATTCTCCCTCCTTTCTACATGCCTTCGTGGTGTAACGGTAGCACACTCGGCACGTATTCATAATTTCGAGGTTCGAGTTCCGGTGAGGGTATTGCATATTTTTCATGTCTCCTGCTAATCAATCGTTTTATATATATGTATATAATTTATAATAGAAAAAAAGGCTTTTTAATTTACTTTTAATTACTTTATTTTGAATATATATATATATATATATATATATATATATATGTCATAATAAAAGCAAAGGAAAAACGGAACACTGTAGATGCGTAGTTATCCTATATTGAAGAGGAAGTAATCTGATTGCGTCGTAAGCTAATGTGTTGACTTCGTAAATAAAACTTGGCAGTAGAAGCGATTTTAATTCCATTTTTATTTCCAATTGATATTTGTGGCCACAATCACTTGGCACTAGTCGTGCCTTTCCACAGAAGATTTACATTTTTGATATTGTTGGGATAGAAAGCAAGCCAGCAAAATCACATCTTAGCACAGTAGCGAGCAAAAGCTGAAGTGCGTAGTTATGAAAGATGAAAGCATGCGAAGAGAAAAGTTTTGGTTTACAATTCGGTGATTGGTCGAGAGGGATCTGCATTATGGGTTAAGTAAGATCGCATGATTAATTTGAATGACGCAGTTTAGACTTAAGCGCTATTTTTAGGACAGATAGAGGAAGTTCTCATTTGAAATAGAAAATAATGGAAGTTATAGTGAATTAAGTTTTATCTTACATATTCCCCCCTTCAAAACGAAAAAGGCGTAGCGACAGAGAAGCCTTTTTAAAGAGAGAGAGTTAAAGCACTAGCAAATTATATATAAATAAATAATAAAATCTTGATCCTGTAAAGTATTATTTAATAATATCAATTTTTTTTAAAATAGATTCTTAATTTTTAGAGTCCTATTGAATTTTTCAGCATTTCAGTCCAAAAGTCGTTTTGTTTGAGAGTTCACATAATCATAATTCATCAGGGAAGGTTTCTGTTATCACAGAATATCACAAAATAAACTTTTGCATAATCATTACTTACAATAATCATTACTTATAATTAAATGCACATAAATATTTATGATATTAATTTTCATATTGATAAATTATAATTTAACATGATAAATAATAAGATTAATATTTTCAGAATTTATGGTTTCACCGTTATCATCTTTCATTTACAATTCCTGATTTTACCAAACTGGAAAGCCTCGCAATACTAAACAAACATATCCATCAATAGGGCTGTCCTCTTGAGCTAACCAGTGTGTTCTCTGCACTGGTGGCCCAGGGTGCCTAGGCAGTTACTTGAAAAGGCCTCCGTTCCTTGCATTAAGGTAACTGGCCTTTGAGAACTGCACTAATACATTCCATAATAAAAAAAAATAATAATAATATAAAAAATTTACATGCATTCATAAAATGAGAGCCTCCAACATCATCTTACTCGAAGAGGGTGAAAGGAACAACTGTACAGAGGTAATTACAGGCCTCTGCTTAGGAACCCAGTAATACCCTCATCTTAACACACAATAGCCCATAAATTTTAACATGCATTTACCATAACTTCATATTACATATCTGTAATAATTTCACTTATTTTTTACATCCATTCAATTTTTAGAATAATTATAAAATTCGTATTCAAAATTCTCAACAAAATTTCAAAAACATAAAAACTGATCTTAATATCCTTCCCTATGAATAATTTAAATAGCTTAAAATTCGTTACTTAATTTGCTCACACATAATTATGAAAAATTAGAAAAATTAATGAACAAGAATTTCAGATTTTCTCAAAACAAATTGCAGAAATTTTAACCAAAGTTGAAATGAAAACTATAGAATTCGCAGCACATTAAATAATTTAGTTCCTGAGCTAGATTCACACGAATGTAATAAATTTTTAGCTGTTTAAAAAAGCGGAAGTGCAAATAATTTTCTGTCGCACATACTTGCAAACACTAACTCGGATCGACCTTGAACCCGCTGTAATGCTGAATTCCTAAACGGTAATTCACTGATGATTTCCTTTTCACTAGGCATTCGAACTTCTCAATTTATCGAGATATCACTTTCAATCTGTAAACACTACGCGTGATTATTTTTTTGAAGCACTTGCAAAACACCACAGCAGAAGAATGATCTCTTATTTTTTTAAACACTGAAAAAACAAATTTGATGATTCACTTCTTTCACATTATCTTGGATTTATCACCAAACGATGATTTGAAGAGCTGAATTAAATTTTCCATTGAGGTTTCAGGCTGCAGGAAACTATCCTTACAGGCTTAATTAATAACTGTAATGTTTTCAGTTATTCCAACACATCGTGGGCGAATGGTGAGGCTATTCCATTACACGTTCTGGCAGATGGTTAACGAAGCTGGGGTGATTGAAACACGGAGAAAAATGACGACTCAGGACTTTTCACTTTTAACAGCAAGAATATCTTTATTTTAATTTATAGCAGATGACTTTTTCCAGATGAAATTAATCAAATAACTTATTCAGTAATTGAACTATTAGATACGACTGACTTTAAACTTTAATACATCATAACGTTCTAACAAATAAAGAGGAGCATAGCGGAAGCTTTAGAAGGACGAAGGCGAGAAGGCATCTGTTGAAGGAACCAGTACACCCTCATCATATTATACTTAACATACAATAAACCATGATGAATTATGATTATGTGAACTCTCAAACAAAACGACTTTTGGACTGAAATGCTGAAAAATTCAATAGGACTCTAAATATTAAGAATCTATTTTAAAAAAATTGATATTATTAAATAATACTTTACAGGATCAAGATTTTATTATTTATTTATATATAATTTGCTAGTGCTTTAACTCTCTCTCTTTAAAAAGGCTTCTCTGTCGCTACGCCTTTTTCTTTTTGAAGGGGGGGAATATGTAAGATAAAAAATATGAAAGCAAACTTCTAAACTTAATTCACTATAACTTCCATTATTTTCTATTTCATTTGAGAACTTCCTCTATCTGTCCTAAAAATAGCTCTTAAGTCTAAACTGCGTCATTCAAATTAATCATGCGATCTTACTTACTTAACCCCATAATGCAGATCCCTCTCGACCAATCACCGAATTGTAAACCAAAACTTTCTCTTCGCATGCTTCCATCTTGTCATAATTACGCACTTCAGCTTCTGTTTCGTACGTGTGCTTAAGACGTGATTTTGCTACGCTGCTTTCTATTCCCAACAATATCAATAATGTAAATCTTCTGTGGAAGGCACGACTAGGGTGCCAAGTGATCTGTGGCCACATAATGTCAATTGGAATAAAAATGGAATTAAAACTGCTTCGACTGCCAAGTTCTTTAGATATTACCAAGTTAGCATTACTAGCATACTACGCAATCAAAATTATTCTTCAATATGGGTCTAATCACGCATCTACAGTGTTCCGTCATTTCCTTTCCTTTGCTTTTATTATGACAATTAAGCCGGTAAGGATCAATCACTTGGCACTCTAGTCGTGCCTTCCACAGAAGATTTACATTTTTGATATTGTTGGGATAGAAAGCAAGCCAGCGAAATCACATCTTAGCACAGTAGCGAGCAAAAGCTGAAGTGCGTCGTTATGAAAAATGGAAGCACGCGAAGAGAAAAGTTTTGGTTTACAA